ATTGCTCTTCCAGTGGCTGTACCTCTTTACAGTAGTATAGGAAAGCACCCATTTCTCCAAACCTAGCTAACACAATTTAACATTTGCCAACCTGTATGGGATGACATGTCACTTTTAATTTAGATTTTATTCTGTATTTCTATGTTGTTTTATATTATTTTAAATGTCCTGTTCCTCATTCTTATTTTCCCCAAAATGAAGTATTTTTAAGTGACCAGAGCAATAGTATAACCAGCACCTTCAGAGAACTTTGGAACTTGTCATGAATATCCTCCAGAGAAGATTTTATTTTTATAATACAAATTGCTAACTAAAGGAAATAGTGTGGGCCATTATTCTGCTTACTATAGAAGATTTTCAGGGTATTGATGATGATAATTAAGGCTTAGGGATATTTCATCTAAAACTATAGCTTACTGAGTGATATAGGATAAATGACAAAATCTCTCTGTGCCTTTGCTTCCTTATTCATAAAATGGATATATCAATTCAGATTTCTCTGGATTGTTCCAGGGATTAAATTGAAAGCACCCTGGATACCAAATGTCAGTAAAAGTGAATTCCCTATTTCCAGCAAGACCCGATTTAAAAAAAAAATAATAAAGCTTTTGTGCACTTTGTTCAAACAAATGGCTCTTTCCTAGACTTTCCCAAGCTTTCAGTGAAAGGGGCAAGAACATTGGTATTGAGATTAAGATAGCTGTAGGAAGTTTCAGCACAGGGCATGAGGGAAGACCAGGCAATTGAAAAGGTCTATAATTTCTAGATCCTGAAGTTTGAAGGGAATTATCAACAAAATAAAGTTAACAGGCTTTTAAGCATTTATGGGCTTGGTTGCTTGTACAAATTGAATAAATGTTTCCTTTGGATTACTAGAATAGGTAAGAAAACTATTTTAGATTGCGTTGAAATGACTTTCATAGTTCTAGAAATGCCATACCTTGTGGTAGTAGTGTTGAAAGAAATGAATTCTACCTTTGACTGTCTAGCAACTTGACCTACTTTGATGAGAAAGATACCCTAGATTTTTTTCTCACAGTTTTAATATTGGAATCAACTTTACCTTTTAACTTGATATTGGAATCAACTTTACCTTTTAAATAACGACCAAATTGCCTTTAATTTTCAGAGTGAAATGGAGAGAAATCAGACATCATCATCATCCTTCCTGTAAATTAGTTTAGAAAAGGTTGTTTTTCAAACTAGTGTCTTGTGAGTCTGATAGGTTTGTTCAGGAAAAAAACCTATTAATCACCAAAAATTATGCACGAGACGCATGCTAAATGTTGCAGGAGCGACAATGTAAAGCTTTTGATTTTTAAGGCAACACTGAAGAATTGAAGGGACTGGATGGGAAGAGTGCCTTTATTTTTTTAATTTTTTTTTAGAGCGCCATGCCATAACGGAATCTTTGCAAAGCATTCAATTTAGTTTTCATTGATGCAGCTCTTTGTTTTTATATTGACATATTTTGTATAACTCTAGATATAATTCATATACTGTAATTAATATACCTCCTAAAAGAAACCCCGTATCCCTTAGCAGTTATTCCCCATTTTTCCCTGCTCTTAGCTACCAGCAAGTGCTAATCTACTTTCTGTCTCTATAGATGTTCTTTCCGGACTCCTTTCATTTACTATAATGTTTTCATGATTCACCATGTTGTAGCATGCATCAGCATTTTGTTCCTTTTAATTGCTAAATGACATTCTATTTATATATCACATTTTGTTTATCCACTCCTCAGTTGATGGACCTTTAAGTTTTCATTTTTTGGCAATTATGTCCTTTTCCCTTATGCTTAATTTTTAATTAATAGAATATTTTTCATAACAGTTTTAGATTTACAGAAAAATTGAGCAGATAGTAAAAGAGAGTTCCCATATATTACCCTCCAACACACACACACATCTTACAGTGGTATGGTACATTTGTTACATCAGTGAACCAATATTGATACAGTATTATTAACTGACGCCCACTGTTTTTCAGATATCCTTACATTTTACCTAATGTTCTTTTTCTTTTCCAGGATCCTATCTGGGATTCCATGTTACATTTAGTAGCCATGTCTTATAGACTTTTCTTGGCTGTGACAGTTTCTTAAACTTTACTTTGGTAACATCCGTAGTTTTGAGAGATACTGGTCACGAACACAGGACGCTCCTCTTGGAATTAGTGTGTTTTTCTCATGATTAGATTGGGGCCTGGGGAAGAAGATCACAGAGTGCCATTTTCATCACATATCAAGGGATATACTATCAACACAATTCGTGTGTGTTTTGTTGATATTGATCACCTGACCATCTGGCTGAAGTAGTGTTTGTGAGGTTTCCCCACTGGACAGTTAAGTGACTCTTTCCACCCCTGTCCATTCTGTACGTCCTGGAGGGAAGTCACTATGTGCTTTGTACAATGAAGGAGTGGGGAATTACACATCCTCAAGAGCTGAGTACCTAAGTTATTTGGAATTCTTCTGCCTCTCCCTCCATTAATTGACTCAATCCTTTATCAGTATGGATACATAGATATCTATTTTATACTTTAGGTTATAATCCATTCATTTTGTTCAAATTGCCCCAGCTTTGGCCATTGTGAGCTTTTTCAGTTGTCTCCTGTGTACCCTTTGACATACCCACTCCCACCTTTCACCCTCCCCTTCAATGTGGGTTTTTTTTTTCCTGAGTGTGTTCCTCCTTTTTTCCTTTCATTTTTAAATGACCCTAATCCTAATAGAAGTTGACTCTAGGAAAACTAACAATACTCCCTTTCTCAGGTAATCCTGATTTCTATGCTGATGGCAGAACTAAACTTTACCTGCAGGGGGTAGAGGGTGAGGCCTCTGGGAATCTAAGGTTGAATAAGACACCTGTCCTGCCCTCCAGAGTTAATTTAGTAGATCACACAAGTGATAATTGGTAAATCTGGGATTCAAACACAAATTTATTCAGCTTAAAACCTGTTATTTGCCCTACTTCAAACTATAAATAACTGGGAAGCCTTACAGGATAAATATCTTGGGAGTAAGAAATCTGATTTCAAAATTTTATCCTGAAGGCACCAGCTACTTTTTAATTATATTTTGACCTCTCAGCTGGCTTCTGACTGAAAAGTCATTATTTTACAAACATTAATGGAAGATTTACTATGTGACTATCAATTGCCTGATACAATATTCTTTTATGCTGCATTTTAATTAGATGCCACCCCAAATTCTGTTTATAAGTAGCTGAGTTTTAAATTATGAAAATATACTGTGGCATGTGTACATATACCATAATTATGAGTATATACCATAAAATCCCTACTTATATAACACACTACGTTATATTCTACTGGACTGCTACTTTACTCTCTGAGTTGATATAAATGTGGCCATCCAATAATCTTGTTACCTCCAAAGATGCTAAGTGAGTTAACGAAGCTTCTTTCTCATATTGATCCTCTTCCATGTGAGTAATGAATGACAACCTTGTGACTGAAACTGCGGCCTCTCCTTGCCTCACTAAGTTTTGTTATTTATTATAATAAAGGTGCTTAATGTGGGTTGTTTTTTCTCTGAAAGTAAGAGGGAGAGGGAGAGAGGAGCCCCTCATATCCTGGGTGCATCCCTTGGCGTTGTGGGGCCAGGTTGTGAAAACAGGGTATTTCAAAATAGGTCTGTACTGGTTAGTATGTGGCAAAATCAATTGAATTGGTTGTGGCCATTAAAAAAGAAAAGTATCACTGATCACTCTAGTCTGAGCGTATTGCTCTTTGAAACCCATTCTAGTTATGCAAGTCTGTATATGCATGATTGTGTGGTGAAATGCATTTCCCACTGTGGTTAAATGTTCAAGGAAGTCAGCGAATCACTGCTGAAGGGGACTTCTCTCTAGCCTTCCCGCTTTCTCTCCACCCTGAACTTCCACAATTTAATGCCAGGATATTTCTGCCTTTTCTGAAAATTTGAGTCTGGAAGAACATTTTGGGGAACTGGAGGTGGGGAGAGTGGGAAAACGCAACAGCTCTTCACAACCCACTGAGCTCAGGGATACAGTTAGAATATCTAAAATATTTCAGCTCATCATTCTGAATAAGGACAGAATCCACCAATGGAAATGGGTGATGAATATGCTATGCAGCGTGAAAACAAGTTTAATTACACATTTCAATGCCCCTTCTCCTTTCCTCCAGGAGAGAGAGAGGCCTGGATATTCGTGGTAGATTGTTGGGTGTCATATTTTCCTGACCCCTTTTTATTTGCGCAGTTTTATTTTATATTCATATACAATCCTCATCCGAGGATATGTTTTTTTTTTTTTTTTTGAGAGAGAGAGAAAGAGAGGAAGGGAGAAAGAGAAACATTGATGTGAGAAACTTTGATGAGAGAGAAACATTGATCCGTTATCTCCCTCACGCTCCCTGAACAACCTAGGACTGTGCCCTGACCCAGAATGGAACCCGCAGCCTTTTGGTGTACAGGCGGGACTACTCCAACTAACTGAGCCACCCGGCAAGGGCTATTTGCGCAGTTTTAAAAGTGCATTAAGGGGGGAGGTGGGGGGAGGTGGAGGTGGAGAAAAAATGCCCATTAACAGCCTAGGCAACTCCCAGTACGACTGGCTGGCTAACCCGAGGAACGCAGCATCCTCCTCGGTGGTGGGGGGGCGGTGGGTGGGTGGAGGGAGGAGGAGGCCAGAGGCTCTTCCCGGTCGGCTAATGCGCAGAGGACCCTCCTCATTGGACTGTGCGGTGCGAGGAAGTGGGAACGCTGAGGTAGGACAAGAAGTGGTAGAAAGGGCAGGAGACTTCACAACATAGGGACTCGAAGAAGCTTTAATAAAAGGCAAAGCGCACCTTTGCTGGACTCGCGTATTGTATAGGAGGAGAAACCAGAAGTCAAGAACACCAAAAGCGTTCCTACTTTCTTAGAACACCCTTAACCCTGGCACCCGGCCCAGCCCACTGCAAGACAGGTGAGCGGCCGCCGTCCCGGGGGCTGCGTGACCTGCTCCTCCATGAACCTGCCGGGAGCTGAGCGCCTTCGCCCCACGCCGCCGCGCAGCCTCCGGGGCTCCGAAGGGGAAGACGGTGAAATCGATATTCTGGGAGAGGAAGAAGATGAAGATGACGACGAGGAGGAAGAGGACCACGTGGAGATCAAAGTGAGCCCACAGTTCTTAGAGCAGCTGCACCAGCAGGAGCCGCCGGGGGCGCGGCAGGGCGCGAAGCCGGGAGAGCGCACCGAGAGCAGCGGTTGCCCAAGCGACTCCCCGGAGTTTGGCACCAAGTTCAGGGCCTCGACCGGGTCTGCGACGGCCTCTGGAGACGCCCCTCAGCCCGCGAAGCCCCCCTACTCCTACATCGCGCTCATCACCATGGCCATCCTGCAGAGCCCACACAAGCGCCTCACGCTGAGCGGCATCTGCGCCTTCATCAGCGGCCGCTTCCCCTATTACCGCCGCAAGTTCCCGGCCTGGCAGAACAGCATCCGCCACAACCTCTCGCTCAACGACTGCTTCGTCAAGATCCCCCGGGAGCCCGGCCACCCGGGCAAGGGCAACTACTGGAGCCTGGACCCCGCCTCCCAGGACATGTTCGACAACGGCAGCTTCCTTCGGCGCAGGAAGCGCTTCAAGCGCCACCACCAGCCCCCGGGAGCCCACCTGCATCACCCCTTCCCCCTCCCCGTAGTGCCCGCCACCCTGCACGGTCCCTACCCGGGCCTGCTGCCTGGGTCCCCGGCCCCGCCGCAGCCCGTCCCCGGGGCCTGCCCTGCCGCCGCCCCCCGGAGCCGCCCGTGCGCTCTGCTGCACCCTCATCCCCTTCGCTACCTGCTGCTGTCCGCCCCTGTCTACTCTGAGGCGCCAAGGAAAGTGCAAGGCGGGGACCTGGTGACCCCCGGCGCCGCCCTTGCAGCACTGCAGCCCCCACTGGGCTTCCAGCCTTGGGAGGGGGGCAAGGGGCTGGCATCGAGACAGGTCGGCGGATGCCCCTCCTTCAGCATCGAAAGTATCATGCAAGGGGGCCGAGGAGGGGGTACAGCGACCGCGCAGAATCTGTCCTGGACCCCGTGGGGCTACTGTCACCTGCTGCAGCGCCCGCCCTGCCTGTTGCACACCCAGGCTGCCACCCCTGGTTCCCCGTGTCCGCTGCCGCCTCATCCACTGCCCGGAGAATGTTGCAGCCGCCGCCGCCGCCGCCGCCGCAGCAGCAGCAGCACCAGGACTGTGCCAGCAAAGGCGCGCTGCTGGGCCGGCACCTGTCTGCCGCCGTGGCGCTGCTGGGGCGTCCGCCGGGAGCGGAGGGCTCCAGGCAGATGTCCTGCGGAGAGGGGACCTCGCCCGCATTTTGAGTAGCACGCGCCTCCTGCCCTGGCGCCAACTCCGAGGGGCGAACCTGGAGCCAAACTAGAGTGCAGAGAGACCCAGGTCTCCCTCTCCCCGCTGCCTGTCCTCGCGCACTCCACCTTGCACAGCCAGGACCAGGTGTATGCATTAGCATCCCGCAGCAAAGCGACCACCAATTTCCCTTCCCAAAGTTTCCGTTAGCTGCGAAATATTTACAAAGGAAAGGTTGGCTACTGTTCCCTTAGACAACCTGAACGCAAACTTCCTATGGCATCGATTTTCGCCTTTTCTTTCCCAGCCTCCCCTGGTGGCTTCCAGGACTTTTCTGGTTTGCACATTTCCAGAGGAGCTATGAATGTGAGTGGGGTATTTTGTTCTGATATGAAAAGAAAAACAAAGATACAATGTCCAATGCACACCATGTTTTCCCCTTCTTCACCCCCTAGGAACTGCAAGTATTATTCCCAAAGTCCAGTACAATGTGCTCATGTCCTTTATGTCTTTCTGAAACCCATGTGTAATATAAGTAGAATTTTAATTTCAGAGCATTTATTTCTGATCTGTGTGTCGGATGTGCCAACTTCCATGGAGAGGTGTTAAAAGTAAACCTAGCTGTGTAGACTAAATAAAGTGCTAAATCATTACACAACATCGTCTATTTTATGGCACTTCTTTTAAAACTAGTTCTTTCCTCCCAAGAAACAATTTAGTTTTACAATTCTTATTCATTATAGACATCAGAAACAACCCTTTTTAAAAATGGCTTTTAAAACTTAAGAATATTTGAAGTTGAAAAAGTCCTGTCTTTTGAGCTATGGGATTTAATATGTATAAAACCTATAGAATAAAAGAATTGGAGGAAATCTAAATATAGTCTATATATTTTTTTATCTTCCTAAAGATGTTGATTTTTCTCCAGAATAAGTTGGAGGACTATTTGAAATCAATGTGGAAGGTAGTGGCCAACATTTATTTGGGCGGGGGGTGGGGGCAGTTCGGGGAGGTAAGGCATTTTTTTTAAAAAGCGTTAGAACTTTCAAAACAAGGGCCCAAAGAAAAGGTATATAATGTATCAAATAAGCATTCATGTCCTGGACATTTACAATTTAAAAAATCCTCTCTCTAGGCAAGTGCCTTCTAAGGGCTCCTATTCTCTTTCTTTAGAACAGAAAGTAACTTCCTTTTGTTTCTAAAAGAGTTAATTTCTGGACTTTGCAACCAGAAAGATTTCACTGTACTGGGCTTCAGGTGACTGGGTGGGAGGGAAAGAAGACCCAAATGTCCATCATGAAATACTCCTGCCAGAGAGACCAAATTTCTCCTGCAGCTCTCCAGTCGCTAAGCAGACTCTCTCTTTTCCCCCCCTCACAACAATTGCTTTCCAGGCGGCTTAGGAAAAAGTCACTCTGTGAGTGTGAAGAAGGTCATTGGCCCTCAGCTACTCCCCAGGCGCAGCTATGAATTTCTCATTACAGGAGGGAGGGGCTCCAAAGAGACATGTTTTTACAGCCTTTTAATTGGTGATTTTTACTCCAGCTCCTCATTTCCACCCCATCCCTCAGAACTTCTTTGGCATGTTCTGCCAGCAATCCCTACCTTCTCCGGGCTTGGTAGATCGGTTTCAGGGACATTCTGGAAAGTTCCCAAGCCAAACCCTTGGTAGCCACTGGGACACAGAACTTCAGATTGTACTCTCCGGCTCTGCACCTGCAACCTTTGCTTGTATGGCAAGCACCACCCCTGCCCTACATAGGCCCCTATCCTGGGGCTGCAGCCAGTCCCTCCCCTAACCCCTTCCTCTTTTATCCACTTCTCCCTCCTTGGGTTTTTTAAAATGAAAACTTAGAGACTTTATATCATATCTATGAACCCCACCATATCCTGTGGGATATAGATAGCTAATTACACCCAACATAATTCAAAGAATGAAAATAGTCCTTTACATAAAACAAAATCATAATATAGACTTTTGGAAATAATATTATTTCAAATTTATGTATTAAAGTAGTTAGATAGTATAATTGTTTTTTATACTTTTTATTGTTGATAGCATTACAGATATCTCCCACTTCCCTCCCCCTCACCCCCCTCCTTCCCGCTTCTATTCCCGCCCCCCCCCCCCCAACACACACACACACACATGTCTTCACTACTCTATTGCCCGCATCCATGGAGGCTTTGAACTCAGTCTGTCTGACTCTCAGCACTTCAGCTTTAAGATCGTTTTAGCAAATTCTGCAGACTGGGCCAACCGAAGAGTTTGGAAACAAGCGAAGAGTAAAGGGAACCCATTTTCCTCTCAGCTCTCTGGTGGTTCACATCCAACCCTCCCTGGCCTTTGGCGGAAACATCTCCAGGTCTGCACCCATTCATTCACTCCAATAGGTCACCAAATGTCCTCGGGGCGCCAGGCAAAGCCTCTCCCAGCGCTACCCACTCCTCGAAGGAGACGCCGAGGAGTTCTCTTCCCTGCCTTTGCCCCAAGCCAGCCACCAACACGAGTGACTTGCGGATAAGAATTGGGCCCAAGCCGGCCCCCAAGCTCCTAATTGTTACCCAATGAAACTATATCGAACGATGAGTTTTCAGGAAAAACGTCGACTCAGTGGAAGAGTAGTTACACATAGTTCTCCACCCGAACCTGGCGCTTCGGAACCACCTGCCGGGAGCGCCGCGACCGCGTGGAGAGGTCAGCGTGAAAGGGGGCCCGCGCGAAACCCCGCAAACGCGCAGAACTTGCCAAGCCCCCCGCTGCTCGCAGGGCTGGCGCGTCCCGGGAGCGGAGGTGGCGCCGCAGCCCCCAAGGCAGGGAGAGTCGGGGCGGAAGGGGGACGGGGTGCCTGGTGCTCCGCGCGGGGATCCGGCCCGGCCGCGTCCGGGGCCAGGCAGAACCAGAGGCAGATGCTCTGGATCCCGGTGGTTCTGCGCAGGGGCGTCCGGCACCTTCTGAGTCCTGGGCCTCTGTCCACCCCGTGCTGGCCTCTGGCCGCGATCTTGGGCAAGAGCGCGGGGTACGTTTAAAATGCTGGCGAGCAGGCTGCGCCGCTTCCGAATTGCGCAATGGGATCCATGATCAGGGGTCGTTCTTGACCCTTGGACTCATCTTCTTGAGGCCAGAAAGCTGGATGTGTCCAGAACTGCCCAAGGGCGGAGCGCAGAGGGGTTGGGGCGAGAGCCAGAGGGAAACCTGAAGGAGAGACTATCTCTCTGGTCCTGCCCCCGATTAAGAGTAACCTCAGCGGGCAACCTTCATCTCCTCCTCTCTCTGCCAGACACTGGATTCCACCGTTAACCCTCCCAGCACCCAAATGACTCTATGGAATCCCCATTATACAGCTAAGACACATGTGACTTGGAGAAATTAAACGACTCTCCCGAGGTCCCTTCTTAGGCAGCGGTGCCCGGCCCTGTCAGGTGTTTTAACCACAACCCCACGGGTGCTCGCGACTTGCTCCGGCCCGGGCCTTCCCTGGTCGCAGAGGCCACAGCCAGAGGCGCCGGGATGCGCGCCGCCAGTTCCGTCTTTCGCCCGGGGCTCTGCTGCGTGCTTCCCAGGGAAGGTCACTGGGAGGGGAGGGGCCCCGGGGAATGGGAGGCGAGGTGGCGGCCCCCATTGAGAAGGAGAGAGGGCATCTGGGGGTCCGGCGGCCTGGAGCCCAGGTGGCTGTAGGTGCCAGTGTGCCCCGTGCAAGTGCAGTCTGGCAGGGCGGTGACATTCTAAGCGCCCAGATCCTGTAGGCAAAACCTTTAGTACTTGCTTATCCGTGGGAGTGTAGCTAGGGATTCAGGAGCCATTCTCCTCTCCCATCGGCCTAACCCAGACGCCCCTACTTGGGCTGGAATGCAGTAACAGACGGTAGAAAATCCACAGAAGCAGCAGAACTATGAGGAAAAGACTAGAATCAAAACTGCCATAAAAACTAACCAGGCTGAGAGTGAGATAAAGCAAATCCCATCTTCTAAGATTTTGCACCAGAATTTCACCACATTTTATTGGAAGTGTGAGGAACTCGTAGCTCTCATTGCCTCTGGTATTTAGGAAAAATGTTCAGAAATGTCTCCCACATTAACATCTGACTCCTATCTAAATTGCAATCTCACCCTAATTGCTAATGTCACCTTCTTGTAATCTCTACAAAAATAGTTTAGTCTTAATGGCTGCTTTTTCATATCAGCACTAAAATTATTTAAATGTATTTTAAGTGTTTATTGATTCCACATACATCACTAGGTTAAACAACTTAAATAGGTGATAGATAATACTACCAAAATTTGCCCTTCTTTCCCCCCCCAAAAACAACACCCAGAAAATTAGATGGAGAAAAAAAAAAGGATTTGAGAATGCAGTCTGAAATTCAGTTCACAGTTCAACACCAGTTCCCTGTTGCTTAACTACCTTAATATAATCAAGGTATATATGTTAAAATGAATGAATACAAAATAAATATGAGTATAAACTTTATTTTCTTATTTGTTCTTAGAATGCAGGAATGTTTATTGAAGTCAGTCATTAAGAATATTGGGGAATAGTTATGATTTATATTCAAGCAGAGAACAATGAGATTAAATTAAGCACAAGAGATTTTATTTTCTTCACATACTGTAATTTTGCTACCTATGGCTATGTCTATATTTAAAGTTATACTTATGACCAATAGTTCTTGAGATTAAGGTGACTACTATTGTGTTATCCAAGGTAACTCTTGTATGAAAGATATTGTGCTACATTTCAAGCAGTATTTATTTTTTCCCTGAATTTTAAGCCTTTTTAAAAAAAATAAATAATGAAAACTTCCAAACATACAAAGCTAGAGAGATTAGTATAATTAACCTCTATGCACCTGTCAGCTAGCCCAACCTGGTTTCATCTTTACTCTGACAGTCCTCTCCCCACTCGATTATTTTGAATCAAATCCCAGATAGTCTATCATTTTATGCACAGATATTTTTGAACATTTCTCCAAAAGACAAGAATTCCATCCATGTTACCACAACACTATCATCACACC